AATATAAATTATAAGTAATGTCTCATTATAAAGAGAATGAAATGCTGAACATTTCTCTCGCTCCGATTTTTAATTTATGAGATATTTTTATCCATATCTTCAATAAAAATCGTTATCATTTGTTTTTCGACAATATTTTTTCTCTTTTCGTCTCTCTAACACGACGTCTGAGATACAATTTTTGAATAATAGCTAATTATAATGTGGACAAAATGATGAACATTTTCTTCGTTAACAAAATGCAGGTCCGATTTTTAGTTTTCGAGATATTTTCACCCATATGCAAAAACCTTTCAATTAGTCGACTCGATCTCAATTTACCCGAGCGTTACACATCGGACATCTGACGGCTCAGTCTAATTTACTCTCCACAAAAAAAGTTCAAAACTTATCTAAAGAAGTTTTCACTTCAAAAAGTTGTTTTACATTGTTGTTCCTAAAAATAATCGTATGGCGGATACGAACATTGTGTCAGTGATAAATTTTTCCCTAACATATAGTTATTTAAAAAGATACTAAACTGAGCTACAGAAAACTGAAGAAAGCCTGAAATTCATTAAAAGGTGGTAGATAAAGAAAATTAATTTATATAATATAATTGGTAATTGGTTGACTGTCGTGGATAATGAAGAGAAGAATAGTTGGGGTGGTCAGTAAAAAAGGAAGGCAAAAATAAATGATAATATTTATTTTGACATATGCCAACGTTTCGACCTGAAGTTCAGGCCTTCATCAGGGCTAAGAAAATTACCAGATAACAAGGTATGAGAAACATAAGTAATGATGGTAAAAAAGATAATAAAAAATGAGAAAATAAAATAAAAAAAAATAAAAAATTATTAGAAAAATAAAATAAATAAATATAAAGTAAAATGAAATTGTTAGAATAATAAGAACTAAGAGATTAATAATAATAAATAATACATAATTTAATTTAATTTAATAGAGATAAATAATTTCTTAATTTATATAATACTTTGTTTTTTCCTCTGCCATCTCAATTTTTTTTCCTCTGCCATTTCAATGCCGGGACTCGAACTAGTAATTTTCACCAACCACTCAAATCGTACTAGGATTAATGTATTTTAATACGTTAAGATATTAAATGTAATATCTTTCTCGGTGATTTACAACATTTAAGTACTTAGTGAATAATAGTATATAATTATATTGTATATTTTAGACACTTTACTATATTTATTATAAGGTCAGTTACAGCACAATTAACATTTATCGTTACCGGAAAAATTAATTAACATAATGAAACCCAAAACGGACTCACGAATTCCTCACAATCAACCGTTCCATTAAAATGAAATAAACAATTATCAACTGCACAAGCATTGTAATTGCCATAGCATAAATATTTCAACTTGTGAGCCATTGAAAGTAATTTCCTTAGTAAATGAAGGAATTTATAAACATTCTGGTATATATATATATATATCACACACACACACGTATGTATATATATATGTTTATATTGTAGTGTCTTACATTGTTAAGAAACTCGTATTTACTTTTCGATGTATAATATGATATTTGTATGTATTAAAATTGTTCATCTTATTCTATACATACAGTCATTCTAGATTATAAAAACAACTGAAAATTATCTTCTTTTTTTTTAAATGATTGCCGAAAACTGATTCGTGAAATTTGAAAAATTGTGGTTTTTCCATGGAACATTAATCACACAATAATAATTTTTTGTACTCCTACAGTTTCCAGAGAGAATACCTTTAATATATTTATAGTAATAATTTTTTCTTGTCATTTTTATTTTAAGAAGATTTTTTATGCAGTTAATGCATAGTTTTACCCTTGTAACCAACCATCTGATTGAAAAAATCTCTTAAAATAAAAGTGACAAGAAAAAACATATATATGAATCACGAAATAGAACTACGAATTCGATTTTACCTAGCCTAAATCAAGATATTCTGTCTGGAAACTGGAGGAGTGCTGAAAATTATTATTGTGATTAATTTTCCTTGCCAAAACCTGAATTTTCCATTTTAACGATACAGTTTTCGCCAATCATTAAAAAAAAAAGGTAAATTTCAGTTGTTTTTATATATTTTGTTTATATATATATATTTAGCCTTTGTAACCAATCGCTCTGATACTTTGCATATAGAAAAAAAAAACCTGTACCCTTGCAGGGTTTTGGGTCCAATACTTTATTAGGAAATACTGTTTCAAGGCCAACGCTTGGGCTGGGAGGTGATCGAGCAAGGATCACGCTCAACCGCCAAGTTTTCATCCTTAATTATTTTAATTAATACTACCTACTTTATAAAGGCTAGGTGTGCCTTAGGGAAGTCTGTTGAAAAATTAATTGTCATCAGTCGGATTCGAACGTGTGAAATTTGGAAGTCAGTGGTTACTCACTGAGATAGCCCGCTCCTACTTTGTATATAACAAAATACAGTTACATTATTATATACTTTTGCCTTATACAATTAATATAATATGTAATATAACAGTTTATTGAGGAGCTTAACATCGCTTCGTATTAGAAGTACGGTAGTGAATTCGGTCTTGTAAATTGCCCCAATAAATAGCTGAGTTTACTAGCGACTATCATTGAAGTACTTTGCCTCCACTGGAGCTGTTAAAGAGCTAAATGGGACCGTTAAAGTTAAACAGTTTACATTGGAGATAATTCTCCGTGAAGAGCTGTCTTGGGACCTCTTCGCAGGTAGTACAGGTACAGGTACACCGATCTAGGTTGCGGTGGGGCCTGGACACTTCTGTTTCCCTCCTTCGGGATTATTTTACTTGCGGTCAGGGAGATAGGGTTTCCTCTTGACGGGGATTGAAAAAAGAATCCGGAGCATTTGTCCTTTATTTAGGTAGAAATCCGACGCTGGGTATATTGGATTACCACCAGGGGTCAGGAAATGAGGAGAAACCGCTTTGGAATGGATTTCGTCCTGGGGATCGAGTCTGGCCTCATAATTGCTCTCAAAAATAGACATCTTTCTCACATGAAAAAAATACTGATTGTTAGCATTTATCAAACAAAAAAATTGCAATAATAAAAATCATAAAATAATATCTTAAACTATTTAATAGTATTGTTACTATCAATAGTACTGTAGCTAGAGACAGCGTATTATTTATCTGAAATATTTAAATGTCTCTCATTTTTATTAATAATACAAAATGGTTCAAAGTATTAAAGAATTCGATAATTAACTAGGAGATATCTTGGATTTTTTTTTTAATAACAAATTTTCGGATTCAATAATCTGAATGAGGCTTTTGGTTTTAAAACCAGTTACACCCATTTTTTCCAAAAACATTTTTTTTTTTTTCAATTCCTTAATGTTTTAATGTCTTAAGAAGAAGTATTTGTTTCAAAACGGTCTAAATCCTTCATAAATCAATACCAGAAGATTCTGTTTAATATTAAACACCTTGTGTTGTTGATAGTTAACAACATAGTTAACGTTTTCATTCTACATCAAAATAGTCTTAGATGGTTCGAGCCTTAAATCATTTCTTTAAATATTTGTCTTACTTTTAACTCTTTTGTAATGAAAAAAAAAATCCGAAATTCAATAAATTCAGCTTGAATCTTGGAAATGTTCAAGATATCAATGAAAATTTGTATGTATAAACAATGTATAAATGCACTAATAAGTTTAGCTCAATTAAAAATACATTTTAAACTACTTACTGGAATAGTCCGATTTTGGCGGGATTCCTGCTCAATGTAACCGAAAGTTGTGTGATTGAGACACCGCAATTTTTCCCTGAAAATATAGAAAAACATTGTATATAGTTTTGTAGACTGTCTTATTAATTAAAAAAAAAACATCTTGAGTTATTTTGATAAAGAACACGTTGTTTTATTTCTATTTTCATTTAATATTATTATTATTATCATTTATAATTATTGGAGTGGAATAGCCCAGTGGTAGGGTTCTGAGCTTCCTATGCTAAAAATGCCAGGTTCGAGAACCTCGGCGGCAGAAAATTTATTCATCTGTTTCATTGGCCGTGGGGAGACCCTCCTGGGGCACGACCAGCCTCTATAAAGTGGGTATCCTTAATTAAATAATTAATTAAGGGGAAAAAACCTAGCGGTTGAGCTTGCTCTCGGTCAAATCACCTCTTTGCATAACCGTTGACCTAGAAACAGTGCTTTTTCTAAATAGTACAGAACCCAAGACCCTTCATGGGCTGTAGTGGTACAGGTTTTTTATTCATAATTATTAATATTATTATTATTATTAATTTTAATTATTATCTTTTTTATTCTCGCCTTTGCGGATTCAAAGCTGAAGGTAGGGTACAAGTCCAGTTATAATATTTTTAGATATTTAAAAATGTTCTTATAATTCTGGCTGTATCCAAGAGAACTGCTTGCTGAGCTTCTCTTAACACATCCAGGGGTAATTCCAAGCCATCCGTATTAATATAATTATTAATATTTTATTATTTATTTGTTTATTGATAAATATTAAAATCTGTCTCAATAAAGGACATTTATAATAGAGTTCTGAGAGCACATTCACACCATATTTAGAAATTAAAAAAAAAAAAAATAAGCCTACTTCAAATAATATAAAGCTACAAAAGAACAAAATAAAATATCATAGTGAAGGAAGAAAATATAAATAATAGTAATAATAGAATGAAAATAAATGAATAAAATAGAATTAAAATTATATTAAAAAAAAAAAACCGCCTGGTGGCCATGGGGCGACCTTGGGTCAGGAGTCCCTCCTGGGGCACACCCAGCCTCTATAAAGTGGGTACCCTTAATTAGATAATTAATTAAGGGGGAAAACCTGGCGGTTGAGCGTGATCTCGGTCAAATCACCTCCTTGCACAACCGTGGATCTAGAAACAGTGCTTTCCCTAAATAGTACTCAACCCCAGACCCTTCATGGGTTGTAGTGGTACTTTTTTTTTAAAGTAATGAAAATAAACATCTTAGATGCAGGCAAATTATTAATGTTAATATTATTGAATATTTTATTTTAATTTATTTCTATTTAATACTTTCTCATAAATAATAGGAATAGTTAATCGAAGTCATGATATGTTGGGATAAACTTCCTGGAGGTTTAATATTACTTAAATTATTATCTCCCCACACACTCCAAGACCTCCCCCTTCCAAAACATCCCCAAGACCTCCCCCAAATCCTATTTCCTAACTCCCCCCTCCCGACTCACCCGAGGACTGACAAGGCATTAATGGCCATCCCTATCGAAGGCACTGGAGAAGTCGAAGATAAGATCGAATGGTCCAAGGCTCTCATCTGGGATGGACTGAGTGCGTGCCCCTCCGATAAATACTTGTCACTTCCAGACACCTTCTTCTGGAATGTCTGAGGTCGTTTTTGGAGATTTCGTTACCTGGAAATCTCCGGCAGGATCTTTACTTCTCCATCTGATATAGAGGAACTAATGTGCCACGGTCAGAAGGAAAAAAATATATGGAATCTATGTTTTTTTTTTTTTTTCTATTCTTTACTAATTATTAATGTTCCTGGTCATGTTTTATAAAAAACACAGATTATTATTTTTTTAGGTAAAAATGTTGATATATATATGTTTGATCTTTACAAGTTTATTTAATAATAATAATACCTTACATGGAGTGTGAATGTGATCTCTGAACACTCTATATGTAATGTCCTTGAGACAGATTGTAATATTATTCAATAATTTTTTTTTTATTTATTTATTTAGACATATAACATTCTGTCACGGGGACAATAATTATATTGATAAATGAACACACTCACACCGTATATACAAACAAAAAAAAAAAAAATAACAAAAGTAAAATAATAAATAAATAATAATAAATAAAAACTATATACAATAAAAATATAAAATAACCTAAATATAAGTAAATTAAATACATAAAATACAATATATACAATCAGGTGAGGAACCTAATCCCTGCGCTACTCTCTCTTTATTGAAATTTACAAATTTAATAAACAAATCCAAGTAAATTTTTACTAAGAATACAAAACATGATTGAGAATATACATCTCGGGAGCACTTCAATGATTAGATTAATTTAAGAGGTCCCTTGGCCTTCTTCTTTTCAGACGCCTCGAAGGGTTTTCAGGAATTGGTTTGAATAAATGGTTATGAACCCGAGGATTAGGGTGACCAGCGAGTTTGGTATTATAAGAGGGATATCTGATTCTGGTAAAATCTGCAAAAAATATAATATTGATGTATTATGGATAATTTTATGTGCTGTATAATAGGGAACATTCTAGAATTCTACGAAGGATTTTGGATTGTAGGGAGTGATTATGTGAAGAATTCGATAGTTAAAAGAAAAATAAGTTTAGATAATTAAAAAAGAAAAATTATTTATAAAAAGTGCCGGGTTCGAATCTGGCTGATGTCAAGTAATTTTTAATCGCCTATAGACTTAACGTGGTGTCGGGAGACTCTTCTGGGGCTCACCTAGCCTCTGTAAAGTTGATAATTTTAATTGAACAATTAATTAAGGGGCTAACCTGGCGGTTGAGCGTAATCCTGGCCCAATCAACCTCCTGCACAACCATTGGCCTTGAAACAGTACTTACTGAACTCAAAATCCTTCATGGGTTCTTGTGGTACAGATTTTTTTTAAACATAAAAAATGATAATGATAAGAAATTTAAGAAAATTAAAATGAAAATAATTATACATACTTAAGAAATAAAATTGTTGAAATAAATGAATCTTCTCAAACATAGTTTTTACACGTTTTTGTAATTCCAAAAATACAAAAATCGAGGACTTTGGGAATCGCATTTCCTCTAACCCATTTGAATTTTAAAAATAAATTTAAAGTAAATTAAATAAGTCATGAAGTTCATTTAATCGAGGTTAAAATTACCATTAAATTCAACATCTCTCAAGCAACACAAACCGTAAACAGATGTTTAAATGCGAAACCCAAACTTCCTTTGATATTTATCTTGAAAAAACAACATCTAATACTTCGATTACTGAGGGATACTAACACTTCATTTACACTTTCGTGTTTCTCATAGTTTGTGAAATGTGTAAACGTGGCTTAACAAGATCCGCAATAAGAAGGCGTGATAAATAGTGGAATAAAACAAGTCTTTAAGTGCATTATATGCTAACTTTATTGTCATTCCATTCCTTAATAAGTCTTCCGAAGGTGAATTATCAAACACCCGAACGATTATACGCCTGTGCGAGTCCAAATGGCACATTTATTTAACTAATAGCTCTTATTTGTAGCTTTCACTATGTATTTACAAAAGTAACAGTTTACAGCTGAGTAATGTAAAACTCATTAAAAAATAATCATGTCCACGCAGATCGGGTTTGGGAGTGTAATTTGTCTAATCGGATCGAAATTGTTTTGTGTTCTTACCTTGACAAATGGCGAAAGTTTCGTCCGCCATTAAGGGGTGTGTTAGGTGTTTATCTCAGCTCCAGGCTTAATCGCGTCCAATTTTTATAACATTATCAGAATGATTTTAATAACCGAGAATTGAGGAGAATATTCGGCCTGGAATGATGAGGCGTAAATTGATTCTGTATTTTGCAGAATGCAATCATTTTTTTTTTGTCTTTCAAAAATATATTTGCGCCTGTCAACTTATTGTTGACAATCAGCAAATGTGATGACGGTATATGATAAATGCCATGACAGGCATGGGGAAGGAAAGTACTCAGCAGTACCTCTTCCCTAACTTGCTCCAATTACTTAGGTTGTCTAAGGAAGGAGATCTCTCATCCAATGCTTTTTTATCATGTTCTGAGGTATGTGAGCTGTGGCCATGTCTCTTCTCTTATTATGTCCATTTAAATTTGTGTAAAATCGTTGATAAAGGGACGTTATATGTTGGTCAACTGTTGGAACGTGGAGGTCAGTATGTAAAGTTTTGTTAGTCACGTACCAAGGTGCTTTTGTTATGAGTCGCAATAATTTTGATGGGAACGTTCGAAGTTTTTGTAGGTGGGTCTTTTTTGCGATACCGTATATTTGTGATGAATATGTCCATATGGGTTTAAGTAAGTATGTATACGTATTCAGTTTCTGTTTTAGTTTTAGTTTTGAAGATTTAGAAAAAAGAGAGTAAAGTAATTTGTTAAGTGTCTTACGTTTCATTTTAACATGCGGACTCCATGTCATCCTTCTGTCGAAGGTGAGCCCAAGGTAAAGTACTGTGTGCAATCATTAATTCTCTATTTTAAAATTCTCAGACGGACAAGGAATGCTTAAGTTTCCTGTGAGAAATGTAGAAGCTCCGAAAAGTAATTCTATACACAATTTTAAGTATAATAAACCTTGTCTGCCATTCCAGAGTCTCTGTTTAAAAAATGGTGGTTTATATAAATAATATTTGGTTAGTAACTTGAGGATCGAAAACTGGGAATATATTGTTAAAAAAGTAGGGTTCAAATGTGTAAAAAACAAAATTTCTTGCCCAGGCCACCTAGGGAAAATATTTTACGGAAAAAAGAGACTGATTTTTAAAAATATATTTTTGGCTCTTCACCTATAACCTCTGAGTACCTAAACTTAATAATTTGGTTTTAAACAACATACATCATCGTCATTTACACTCAAACCTACGCCTGCGATGAGGTCACTATTAACTATCGATTCAAACTACTCACTTATAGTAAAACATTTCTCGAGACAAAATTTCTTAAAATGTAAGTAGAGTCTGTATTTATTAAAATCGTTAGAAAAGAAAACGCGTCAGGAGCTAGAATTATTTTCATTATTGCATAAATATTGGAATTGACAAATTTTGTTTTATCACTTTATGCAATAAAAATCACTTGCCCCGAAAGAGATCTGTGTAAAAAGCCCTAACGCGTCATTATTTTTATAATTAAAAATGTTATTATTATAATTGATCTATTGTATTACATCCTACGTTACAGTGAGATGAGGGGAGAGATGAATCAATCGATAGTAATAATTTACTGTAGTTATTTTTGGTGAAAACGCAGTTACTGAAGGGTGACAAAATATCAAATCCTTTAATTATTTTATACAACTAGAGCTGAATCTCTACTTATTCGGTAACAATGTTCAACTTAATTAGTATGGATTTAAATCTTTTTAAACGTTTAGTTGCTGGGTGATAAAAAAAAAGAACCGAATAATCAATGATTTTGATAATCAATGAAAAACAAAACACTACAGCAAGTTTTGTTTTTCATTGATTACACTCTTTAATAGTCCTCTATTAATAGTTTTATCAAAGACAAATTCTACTTTCATTTTAAAGTAAATTTTGTCTAGTTTATTATGCATACATTTTTAATTTTCCCAACCAAATATTTTTGTAGTTATCGGTTTCTAGTCAATAAAGAAAGTGGAATCATGATTTGCATTAAAGTTTTAATAGTTTTTCAGATCTGCTATCATTCCTTTAAATATTTCACTTTACTTGCCGAACACCCTATATATATATATATATATATATATATATATATATATATATATATATATATATATATATATAGGTATATACATACTAAATAAATTTAAAAGATATGACAAATCTTTGGCATGAAATGAAATAGAAAGGAATGAAATACTGCAATGGGGAACTGAGGCTGTCTGCAATTTGAACGCCTGTAATTTCCGTCTAATATTTTTGCAATGATATCAGCAATTTAAATTCGAAAGTCAGATAATACAGTAACTCTAATATTAAATACAACTGCATCGTCCAATATTATCTTTTCTTTCATAAATATTATTTCACATGATATCATGGTCAAATAAATTATAACAATTATTTTAAAGAGCTAGTTGCCAATAAGTATGTTAAACCACTGACGATAAAATCAGGGATATTTTACGTTTCAAATTATCAACTGCTTATTACTTTCCACTCTAAGGCCCGGTTCGATTCTTGTTATTTATTTTTTTGTCAAAAGTAATATTGTGTTTGTTATTATTAAAATTCAAATCTACAATCGTTGCTGCTATAATTATCTCACGATATTAATTTTCTCAGAAAAACCAAATCGTGGTTTGAGTCATACCCGCATATCTTAGCATGAGTCAGATCTGACCACGGACCATGATTATTTTTCAATATTGAGCTTAAATCTCGATTTATATTTATAGTAGAAAATATTTATCGCAGTATTTTTAAAAAAAAATTAATAACACTCCAAATAAAACTATAAAAAATATTTTTAAAAATAAATAACGTAACTTAGGTTCTTTCAGACTACGGTCACCAGAAAAATAATATTTGTAAAAGTTAAATATTGACATTAATAATTGTACATGTCCTGTACAAGCAATATTTTATTTCATGAGCATATTCATTTTGTTTCGTTGTTTAAAAAAAAAATGAAGTTAGTTTA